CTGGAACTATAAAATTTTTTGGTTTTATTTTTTTTCTGGGTTTCCTAGCATTTAAACTTATTTCCATTGTTTTTTGTCAAATTACGGACCCAAATTGTCTTCACCTTCATTGGGCCCAACCCGGCAAAGGAGGATTGATTATCAAACTCACAAAGACCACAATAAAGTTCATCAACACCATCCAAACAATCAATATTGTAGTCACACATTTTATCATCTGGAATACAAACTGATCCAAAATCTGTTTTGCAACGGAATTCGTTTTTAGGACAGTCAGATGTTATCGTTTTAATTGGATCATCAGATTTATCAAAACATGAATCACTAATAACAATATCATCGATAACAGCATAATAATTACTTTGGTAATTTCCTTGTTCAGACTGTGAATATCTGGCCGTGAAAACAAAATTGAATGGAACTGAAATGTCACCCTTTTTAAGGTTTATACGTTTACGTTTGAAACCAAAAACATCATCAAATGGTAGTTCAAGTAACTGGGTATAATTAGAGTTACTATCAACAAGTGAAACTAAAAGGGTGACTCCAGCTGTATTATAATAGAAGACCATTGAACAATTATCAACTGATGTTAACTCTGGACTAGCTAATTTAATTTCTTTCGGAATGCTTCTATCGGAAGAATCAGTTAAAGAATCGTACTTTGGATAAAGAGCCATGTAACCCGAATTTTCTAGTCCTTTTGAATGATCTCTTGTTGGTGTTGTGATAACTTGATCACCAGTTTTAGCCAAACCCCATTTTGACTTTTCATTGGATAAATTAGTCCAGTACTCAGCATCACTGCTATCTTCAAATGAGTAAATCCTGTAATTGTCACAATTAAACTCATCATCACCATCGAAACAATCAATTGATTGATCACACACTTGATCTTGACTTATGCGCCTTCCATTTTTACAAGTATAAACTTCACTTGACTCGAAGCTATCAATAGTATTCTGGTAGCCACAATCAATTAACTTAATTGGGCCAAGACTTAATGGATAAGCACTGGTTCTTATTTCAGCAAGGAAGTAAAGATTAAATGGAATTGGTATGCGACTTAAGTTGATTTCCACACTGCCGTTCTGAATCGATTTCAACATTGACTCGTCCCAAACTTCAACTGTATGTCCATCTTGGAACATCAAGTGTACCTTGAGTTTATTAGAATTACTAGAATCCTTTTCAAAATTAAACTGTAATTTACAAGTTGGTGCAGTTGGTTTTAAAGGTTGACTTAAAAGAAAAGCATCTTTTTTTGTGAAGATCCAAAATGCTGGTTTGCCTTGCACGTTTGCCTGGCCATTTTTGATAAACCAATTGGTTTTATCGTCTTTCCAATAACCACAAAAGTCATTCTCGAAAGAGCAATCACCACAATTATGCTCGTCTTCACCTGTTGGACAATCTACAATGAAATCACAGACTTGGTGTCCTAATAATGTTTTCCCATTTTTACAAACAAATGGAGATTCATCACAGCTACCCGTCTTGATAGAGATGTCATCAATAGCAAGTGCACCACTTCCAACAAGATAAACACGGGCAGCTTTGGATAAATCGGGGTTGAACTTCATCAAAGCCTGAAAAGTCCCCCAACTAGCTTCATCGATTACGCCTTTTTCAATGAGTTTATACACTCCACCTTGTTCAGTGATGATTTCAATATCATTTTTACCAATACGATAGACCTTAACAGATAGACACATTTCAGCTGTTTTTTCAGACAAGTAGATTGGTGGAAATGCAAGAATCGCAGTTTCATATTTCTGTTTCAAAGTCAAGTAATGCCCATCCCAAGAACTTAAAGTTGCGTCTCGGCTTGGGATTACCCATCTAGCCTGAACAATGGCCCATTCCGTTGTTGCTTTGTATTCATCACCAGATCCAATTATAGCGAGTGATTTATCTTTATCAAGATTATTCAATGAGCAGTCCTTCTCAAAATCGCAAAAATAATTATAATCGATTGAACATGTTCCTTCAGTCAATTCTAATCCATCAATGATAATTGTTCCATGTGAATTGGGTGTCTGACTTGCACCAAAAATTAATTTACTCTCTTCATTTAAAACATCCAATTGTATTTTTGCTTGATCCCAATCACCACCAGAATGACTGTTTAATTTGACGATAGGGGATTGACGAAGATACTGATTAAAATCTGCGTCCATTTTATCAGTCCATAAATTCAATTCAATATTTCCAGCGATTGAATACCAGAATTTCAGACAATATTCAACATTTGGCTTCACATTGGAAATGTAAAAGTGAGAAAAGGAACTAATATCACGAAAATCAACTGGTTCATCGAAAAATAAAACAAAGTCGTTTTTAAATTTGTAATCAAGTTCTGAAGGTTTGGGTATTTGACTGGGGTTCTTAAAAACCCAATTGTTAAATGCAGAGGGAACAACTTTGACACATTTTTGATCAATCAAACCATCATGAAGGCAAGCAGGAGTCTCTTGATGTTCACAATAGTTAACCACAATATCATCAATAGCTGCAAACAGTTGAACTCCACTGAATTCAAATGAATATTTAACAAGCTGACCAGAATCAGATAAAGGTATTTCGATTGTTTTCCATTTTTCTTCTGATACTACAGGATTCAATGACCAAACTGTCTTGCTTTCTGATAACTCATTTGAAGTCAATTTTATTGAAAATTTCCCGTCTCGGCTAAATGTTAAGGCATACGAAAAAGATAAACAGGTTTTGCCTAGACTTCGGTCCATAAAAGGACTTTCCAATGAGTACGAAACCAACTCATCATTTTTTTGTGTATTTGTATAAACAAATAAATCATATGGGTCAATATTTTTAAGTGGTGTCCAATCGATTGCCGCAGGATAAGGTAGTCGTCCAAAACCAACCAGTAGTTCCCCGCTTTTAATTGTATAATCACATAAACCAGAATCAAAGTTACATGAACCATGAGATGAGCAAGGTTCAGGGCTCACTGCCAATTCATCTATCGCTATTGGAGTTGATTTTTCCGTGTGTCGAGAGGCTGAAAGAATTAGTTTAATGTAATCATGCAGAGGCGGTAAGTCTACATTAATTTTAATCCATTGTTGACTAGTAACATATGGTTGAGCCCAGACGATAGAGCGAGATCCTGATATAGATTGAATGCCAAGTTGAAGAGTGTCCGAAGGGTATTTTTGCTCAAAAAGTTGAAAGGATAAACATTTGGCTTCATTAGATGATAAGTAAATTGTTGAGATTAGATCACTAGATGAACCAACAAATCCATTTGTTGGAGTTCTCACGAAATGACCAGCTTCAGTATTAGTTGTTGCATCGAAACCAACTAAATCATGTTGAGAGTTTGATCCATTCGACACAAACAATCGGAAATTACTTTGATAATCAGGTTCAATCAACCAAAAACATAAAGATGGATTTTCAAAATCACACTTATAATCAAAATCACAAGAACCAGGTTTAACTAAAATTGAACCCAAAGCAATATCGTCTGATGTTGCTACAAACTTCAACCTAAACATGTCACCATTTTGCTGTGAAGGATCAAAATAATATTTACCAAGGATCCAATCATCATATTTGGATCCTTCTTGTCTCCAAACAGTTTGTCCAGTTTGGTTAAACTTTGAGACATCATCTCCAATTACCGATTCTAATTGTAACTCTAAAGATCCAACTGATAAACCAAACATAAAATAATTAAAGTACAAGCAAAAGGGTTCTTTATCATGCAATATTGGTGACTCTAGAACACTTCGCTTGGTTGGACTTTGGGTATAAATGAATCCACCTAAATGTTAATAACCAGGAAAATTGCAAAATATGTTTTGTTATGAACTACATTGAATATTGTTTGTTAATTAATATGTTTTCTTACCATTTTCAATTTGCTTAGCTGGTTGTCCAAAGCCAGATAAACTGTAATCACCCAGAACCCAGCCATTCCAACCTTGATCTTCCCATTGACAGAAATTGTCAGTAAATTTACATTCCAATATTTGAACGTTTGCCAAAAGTCCTCCTACAAAGATACCGAAAATCGCAGGTTAGTCAAATGTAACCAGTAAACCCTATCTTCAACATCTTCCATGCAAAGCTATTGAATCTTTCAATCAGTCTTGTGACGACCTTTCGATCACTTATCTTGTTAATTTATCTGAGCTCATTGAAACTTCATTATGCATTCAGACCAAGTTGAATTAAGCAAATTTCCCCCTTTATATTTTGCTACCGAATTACTTCACTCATCTACTGTTTTTTATCTTTAATGATTACCTATTGTTCCCACTATCATCAATATCCTTTTCATCAATTAAACCAGTAATCGGTTAATTCAGTCAGATTCATAAACAATGAAGCTTAAAACAACATTGAACTAACAATGTAACTTGTAAGTTTCAATCTTTGACCTTTTAGCTACCTGAATTTGCTTTGAGGTTTACTTCGTTCATTCAAATTTACTTCTGATTAGCCCCATGAGCTTTCAATTTTCATCTTCTATTCCAAGTAAATAGAAATAAATTGATTCTGTTCCATTCTCAAACTAAAATGAACCAGAAATAAGCTCCAAAAAAGAAAGAAAAACTTGCATCTTGTTTTCAATGAATCTGGTTGATGGGTAAACGTAATCTTGCGGTTTAAATTGATTCAATTTCAATCCTTCAAACAAATTAATCAACTTCAAACACCTTAATCCATTATATACTTTTGGACACATTGAATTGATTTTAGTAAAGTGAAATTACTAAAAATTTCAAGGCATATCATTACAATTAGGGGAAAAAACAGTCAAATTGGATTCAGAAACAGGTATAAGATCACATCAAAGGCTTACCTTTCAAGAATGAAATGAGAAGCAATAAAATGAAATGAGCTTTAATCATTTGGCCACAATGAATCAAATGGTTTTAATGTTGATTGTAAGTTTAATTAGTATGATGGTAATTAAAAAGCAAACACAAACAAACGTTAACAAAGCAATCAAATGGTCGTCAGCTAATTGGCATCATAGGACATTACATTAGTAAAAGACAAACTTCAATCTCGTTAATTAAACAGCAAAGGCGTTTATAAAAAGTTTCATCTCCAATTCATATTTTTATATTTAATTGTCTTTTTAATAATCTTTTCAAATGATTAAAATTGTTCATATCAAAACCTCCACCTACCTTAATGTGTGCCATGTGAATTGATGTAATTGAGAATTTGGTTGAAAGGAAAGTCTTCAAAGGTGACAAATAATACAATATGAATTCCAATGTAATGAGATGTAAATCACGGCACTTATTAGGTAATTGATAACAATTAAAGGCGTATGTAAATTTGATAATTTCAATAAATGCTACTGTTTTCAATGAATCTATCATTGTCTGTGAATCTAATTTGGAAGGATAAAAATGACCCAAATGAAAGGATTTCACGTTAACTTCAGGCTCATGTGTGAATTTTCATTACTTGAACCATTTAACAATTTAACAATTAAAAGCAATTTGTATTAACTTTAAATTAAATGAAAAACAGCTTAACCGTCGTGATAGGGATTCAAGAATTATCGCAATCAGTTAATTTACCGCTTTCAAATTTTCAATAACAAAGTAAATCTGATTTTACTATGAAATTTAAATGATTGTCTCAATTTATTTTGAACGATTGGCTCATATTGCATTTCAAATTTGAACTCAGAATACATTTCAAGGTAGACCATTAAAGATGGATCGATAGCTAATTGAATCTTGAATATTTTAATATCTTTCTATGAAATTCTTATGAAATTTAAATTTTGGTTGGCAACAAGTTTTGCTAGTTTTTATTAAATTAATCAAGCCTGAGATTTGAACGGATAAAACTGATAAAAATTGAAAAATCGATGAACCGTTGTTATTTTCATCGCAATCATCATGAATGATTCAACATTATCCCCTGAATAGATATAGCTTTTGCCAATGAAGGGTTAGACACAGAAACAATTGAGTCTACTTTTTTTATTAAGTCATAAGCATTTTTAACCTCTAGTTTTACTGTAAAAGATTAAAAGTTTAATTGTGTAGATCAGTTTGAGGAGTCAAATGTAGACTCCAATGTTCATTCATGATGTTCAGTAGTTAGGTTAGGTTAAGATAGTGAAATAATTATTTTGGTGAGCCTTGCAGATAACGCCATTGCCATTCAAGTTTGAATCTATCACAACCAATTAACCTAACAAATTTTTAACAAAAGTAATATTTTTATTCTGGAAATATTTCGCTCTTCTGTTATTTGTTAAAAATCAACGCAATCAAATTAACGAATGAACTCACGATCATGTAAAATGCTTTGTCAAGGCGATTTCTCTACCTATTTGAGGTATTAGCAATAAACAAAAATACTGCTGACAATTAGATAAACTTACAGGCACCATTAACTTTTAAAATAAGATATTTTGTGAAACTCATTTTACTTGTGTAACTTTCGATGGACAATCATGAAATGCACTTATTTGCCAAATAAAATTTTGTGCCTGTAAAACAAATCAAATTCAACTTTCCGTTAAACTTTCCGAATTATGTGACCGTAAGAGTAAGAAAGCTGAAAAATTTTATTCGTCGATAAAACTTGTTGGTAAACACCATGGATTGAACACTCGATTTTCGCCATTTGCCTAAATTCTTCGAACATTCATCATTCTTTGAAATAGATTTTATGAAAGAAAGAGGTTTTGGGTTCGATTCCAATTGTGGCTTTTTTCGATAAAACTTAATTGTACTTAACTTTGACTTATATTTATTATACTTTATTTAAGGTTTTTTTATGATTTTTCGATATTTTTTGGTATTTTTGATGGATATATAATATATAGTAATACACTATCATTAGTGAAGGTGAAGAGGATCAGTACAATGTTTGCAACAGAGGGAAATTTGACAATATGAACATTTTACAGAAATTGAATATTCACAATTAGTCACTGAACATTTGTCAACGCATACAACAAAATTGACTTCTAGAACGTTTTTGAAACCAGTTAACTTTCTTTGAATTGTATATCCAAATGCTTTCTATGCATAATACAACATGTCTCTGAAAATTGGACTCGACAATTGGTTATAAACGAAAGAATGCATATGCATTATAAAAATTCGATCATTTAATTTTGCAATTTCATCATTTGGGTCAGCTGCGCGAACAGCATCCTGATATCTTCGAATAAATGATTTATATTGTCTGAAAAAGTGAGCATCCAAAGGTTGACAATATTTGGGTCGCTTTTGGCGGGATTTTTTCGATTTTTAACTTTGAGTAATTACTTTCTTTTTTCTGAAAAATGCTCATATCCTTCTGAGCTGGCCAAGAAGCTTGAATTCGCAAGGTATTGTTTTGAACAAAAATGTTAATGCATTGTTCAACCCGATACTCTACTGTACTCTTGGTCATTTATCCACTAGGAGTGCAAGTAACTATGCTATTTTGTAGAGTACTGCTCTTGATTTTTCATTGAACTTGTGGACCAAACCTACCATTTGTTTCTTGAAAGCAGATGAAAAGCTTCGGTGCAAGTTCACCTGAATTCGCATCTAGAACTTTTGCTACATTTTTAACGATTCCTAATGTCTGTTTTTCGCCCTGGTCATTCAAGGTTCTAGCATATATAAATTTATAATGAAAACCTGATTGATCTGTCTTCCAAATATTTTCATCCTTTACCCTATTTTTTAACGAGTTAATTTTTGCAACGAAATCAACAGCGGATTACGGATTTCTGCTACTTTTGCAGATGTTCTTTTTGTTGTAATCTTTCTTGATGTTATGCGATATACATCCTTAAATGACTTCATGAACTTTGAGCTATCTTGAAATTCAGGCGGTCCAAGACCTAAAGTTTTTGCAGACTCTAAAGCCCAAGCATTCAAATGATGACCATGAATTGGTAGATAATTATCACGATTATTACGATATTTTGCGTACATGAGGGCTCGAATACATGAGGCTTCGTTTACGAATTGTACAATTCTCATCATTTTTTATGACAGCAATTCAATGACCTATAACGCTGATAACATTTGATGACCCATATCTTGCATAACAATTTTTTATTTCTTGCATTGTGCTCAGAGAAATTTGCTGTTCGATCGGTACGTGTCTGCTTTTTCCAACAGGAGAAACCTAGTAATCTGATGATGTTGACGGATCGCCAGTTTCTTCTTCTGTATCTGAATCGGGATCAGACTTCGAGTCACAGGCTTCATTAGCATAACAAAGTTTCATCTTCATATATCTCTAGAGATCCTTGACTATTACTTTGAATCAAATTCCAAATAACCACAGCAAAGTATTTTTCATCATCAACAATCGTTGAAGAGTGATAGTTCTGAGGAATAAAATTAACCCTAAATTGATTATGAAATGATTGAAACTGATGAAGATGATGATGTCATAAATTTTATCATGTATGTGTAAAACTGTCTTTTGTGTAAAAAGCCTCAACTGTACCAAATTCAAATTTTAAAAGTTTCATTTTGAACTCAATCTCGCGCATTATTTTCTTAGCTTTGTCGTGTCACTATACTTGTTAAAAGTCAAAACGCTTGGTCACAGGTTTGTAATTGTCGCAATCTCCTACCATCAAATCATTTCACTCATGTTCTATCAATCTAATGTAGGCTTATTACAAAAATCAAGAAAATACAATCGACTTAATTAAATCAGTTTATTTTTTCGAGCATTATAGAATTTCGTGCATTAAGCATAACAAACACAGGTTTGCCCAGCAGAATTAACATAACGATTAGCATATGAAGCTGCTGCTGCTGAACTTGAAGCTGCTGATGATGATCCTGATCCAGTATTTGATGCTGGTGCAGGTGCAGATGATGAGTCTGAAGCTGCTGCTGCTGCTGCTGAACTTGATGCTGCTGATCCTGATGATGAACCTGAACCAGATGATCCTGAACCTGATGAACCAGATCCTTGTCCTGATCCTGAGCCAGATGATCCTGAACCTGAAGCTGCTGATGAAGCTGCTGCTGATGATCCTGAACCTGATCCTGATGATGCTGAGTTAGGTGAGTTACTGGTTGATGTTGATGTTGTTGTTGGTCCTGATGATGAATCTGAAGCTGATGCTGCTGATGCTGCTGCTGCTGAACTTGAAGCTGCTGATGATGATCCTGAGTCAGTATTTGATGCTGGTGCAGGTGCAGATGATGAGTCTGAAGCTGCTGCTGCTGCTGCTGAACTTGATGCTGCTGATCCTGAACCTGAACCGTAACCAGATGATCCTGAACCTGATGAACCAGATCCTTGTCCTGATCCTGAGCCCGATGATCCTGAACCTGAAGCTGCTGATGAAGCTGCTGCTGATGATCCTGAACCTGATCCTGATGATGCTGAGTTAGGTGAGTTACTGGTTGATGTTGATTTTGTTGTTGGTCCTGATGATGAATCTGAAGCTGATGCTGCTGATGCTGCTGCTGCTGAACTTGAAGCTGCTGATGATGATCCTGATCCAGTATTTGATGCTGGTGCAGGTGCAGATGATGAGTCTGAAGCTGCTGCTGAACTTGATGCTGCTGATCTCTGATGATGAACCTGAACCAGATGATCCTGAACCTGATGAACCAGATCCTTGTCCTGATCCTGAGCCAGATGATCCTGAACCTGAAGCTGCTGATGAAGCTGCTGCTGATGATCCTGAACCTGATCCTGATGATGCTGAGTTAGGTGAGTTACTGGTTGATGTTGATGTTGTTGTTGGTCCTGATGATGAATCTGAAGCTGATGCTGCTGATGCTGCTGCTGCTGAAC